AGCGAGCAGCTTACCGACCTTCGTTCTGCGATTTCCCGCCTATACGGGCACCGTTTTGTGATCGCATTTGCGATCGCTAAAACGGCCTCATAGAGCAAATTCATCGCTCTACGAGGCGCCCGTTGTGCGAGGCACCACTGTATTTGTGATCCACACTAAACACTCAGATCTTTCTTTGACTTGTAGTTGCTAACAGGATGAGTGGCTTCCACTTGCAGTATAGAGTGTGCAGTACATGAGCCTGGAGTTTATGGCTCATATTTGCAGCCATCTCTGCCACCTCCAAAAGCAGTATTCACCATTGCTCAACAATGAATTCCTGCCTCACATGTTCTGCCATAATTTTCTCCTGGTACAAAATATGATGAATTAAATAGTAGAGCATACAGGGGACCCTGCTTCCTTTCTCTCTTTCTGAAAAGATGTAATTATTCCTTTTCTCTCATTCAAATGTAGATGATGGGAAGCTGTCATTTGAAGAGTTTAAGAATTGTTGTGCTGATGGCATCCTCAGCTCTGAAGAACTATGGGAACTGTTCAGCAGGATTGACAGGCATCATTCAGGGTGAGTAACCATTTACTGCAGGCAAAGAGCTTTGCTGCTCAGGCGCCACCTTCTGTTGGACTGCATTAGTTTAGAACACTGGAGCAGAGAAAGTTCCCAGAATAAGGGGGTCTATTGCTTTCCAACTGAAGACAAGGAAAGTCTATAGGTCAATAGTAGTAGTAGAGTACCTGCAAATGAAATGTCCCTGATTCCTCTGGCATCTCCAGGTAGGCCTGAGAAAGTTCCTGGGCCACCAGAGAGCAACTGCCAGCCATTGTACATGAGTAATTCGGATGAAAATCTTCTCCCCAGATGTTGTGGGACATCAGCTGCCCAAACCCCTGGGAACCATAGTCCAAACAACATCTGGTAAATGAAGTCTGGGAATCACTTGTGTAGACAACTTTGGAGAGCCAGAGTGTTGACTCGACTCAAAGGCCTGGGTTCAAATCCCCATTCAGCCACAGAAACTCACTAGGAGTTGATGGCATAATAAATCACCCTTTGGACATATCACGTAGCTTGAAAACCTAGAAGTGACTGGACAGCACAGCACCACAACAGTCAACATTGTGATACAAAGAAAAAGAGGATATAATAGAGATACAAGTAGCTGCCTTACACTTAATCAGATCCATTGTCCCTTTAACCCAGTGGTTACTAACATTGGGTAATCCAGCTGTTTTGGACTTCAGTTCGCAGAAACCTTGGCCAGCACATCTGGTGATGAAGAATTCTGGGAACTGCAGTCTAAGAGCAGCCAAGTTACCGAAGGTTGGGAACCATTGCTGCCAGCACATCTGGCGATGAAGAATTCTGGGAACTACAGTCTAAGAGCAGCCAAGTTACCAAAGGTTGGGAACCATTGCTCTAACCATTGCACTGTCAACAGTGACCAGCAGTAGCTCTTCAGGGTTTTAGGCAACAATTTCTCCAGACATACTTGTCAAAGATTGAGTCTGGGACCTTTGCTTGTTTATGGCTTCTCCACACAAGGGAGGCTAATTTTTTTCTCTCCATCTTGATTCCTTTACATGAAATGACCTGGGTAATATAAGCATGTGTTGCTACGACAATTGGTTGGCTTTTGTTGTTTGTTGTTTAGTTTTTAAGTCATTTTCAACTTTCGTGACCCCATGGATCAGAGCACGCCAGGCCCTCCTGTCTTCTGCTGCCTCCCAGAGTTGGGTCAAATTCATGTTGGTAGCTTCAATTACATTGTCCAACCATCTCAACCTCTGCTGTCCCCTTCTCCTCTTGCCTTCACACTTTCCCAACATCAGGGTCTTTACCAGAAAGTCTTCTCTTTTCATGAGATGGCCAAAGTATTGAAGCCTCAGCTTCAGGATCTGTCCTTCCAGTGAACACTCAGGCTACATTTCCTT